GAGGAGGTCACATATAGTTCCTTGTAATCGGTTCCCTCTTTCCAACCCACTCTCCCTCTACCCTCCCTGTTTCGCCACTCACACCACTGGTCCTGTAGGGCTCATCCACTCTGGATTCCCAGTCTTTCCAGTTCCCACCTGCACCAGTTGTACAAATCTTTTTAAAGGCGATTTAACCATTGGGATGGGGGGCATGCTCTAAAATAGATGTGGTAGTGATTGTACAATTCCCCTTGATATGATTGAACAAATGAACTATTCAGTCATATGATATGTAAATTCTGTGCAAATGAAACTGTTGGAATAAAAAGAATAAAAAGCAAAATTAATTAAAAAATAATATGTATTACATTGGGCAAATCTTCTGCACAAGACCTCTTTAAAGTGTTGAAAAGCAGGGGCGTCTCTTTTAGGATCACAGTGTGGCTGACCCAAGCCACAGTACTTTCAGTCACCTCACATACATGTGAAACCTGGACAATGAATAAGGAAGATAGAAGAGATGATGCATTTGAATTATTGTGCTGACGAAGAATACTGAAAGTACCATGAACTGCCGGAAGGCCAAACAAATCTATCTGAGAAGAAGTGCAGCCAGAATATTCCTTAGAATCCAGGACGGTGAGATTTCTTCTCGGGTATTTTGGATGTGTTTTCAGAAGAGACCAGTCCCTGGAAAAAGCTGTCATATTTGTTAGTGTCGAAGGGCATTGACAAAGCCACGAATCAGCACAGTGAGTGTAACAAGGGGCTCAAACATAACAATCATGAGGGTGGAGCAGGCCCGGAGGGGGTTTAGTTCTGCTAAACAGAGGTTGTGTTTGCATCAGAACAGTGGACCTACAACAACAACAACAATTTAAGACAGCACCAAGTCCATTGTCATGTTCATTGTGTATTTTGAGTGCCCTCCCACCAAGGGGATTCATCTTCCAAGACCAGATCTGACATTATCCACTCTGTAATAGATACTTTTAACACTCCTGTTTGACTAAAAGTTTCTGCTTGCTTGTTTATTGTTTAAAGTTTAAAGACTGTTTGAAAAGAGGAGCTCTAAATTTATGCATATTGTGGAGATTTGGAATGTAAATAAATATATTGAACTCATTTCCTTACACAAAAAATCTTTGGCAATGAGGCTTTGTCACATGCAGAGCCATATTTTCTTTGGCAAATCGTACAAAATGCTTCGTAGATCAAAGAACTTAGCCAAAGGACTCCAGGACGTAGGAACCAGGAAGCCAAGGGTGGCAGCACATCAGGAGGATGTGTAGGAGTACAGTAATTTGCCATTTGAAGTCGGTGCCAATCTTTTGAGCCTTATTACTTTAAAAAAAGTATTTATATTTTATAGTAGTTAGGAAAACATACAAGGAAAAACATAACACCAGTATTAGTTCTAAAGCATCTATTTTGCAAGGTTATTCTGATCTTAAATGACAGTTCAGGGTAGCATCTCTTAAAAAACAAATATGCAATCAATATTTTTAAAAAAGAAATTATATATCAAGATTTGGACAACTTTCGTTTAACACACAAGAAATAATAGGGCAAATATAGGGGCTTCATATCAATACTACATTCCATAACTACATAAATCCTTGACTACAAAGCTCAACATAAAATTCAATAGTTTCAACATAAAATTTTAAATGTCTGCTTAATGATTCTAAATGATTGAGAACATAAATCACCACTGGTCTTTAATATTTACTTCCCATTGTTGGTCGTTTTCTCTGCATACACTCAAGACATTTAAGAGAGGCTGCGAGTGACACAGGGCCCGGCCAGATAGGCCCTCAACTCCAAACAGTGACCTACTCCAGAGAAAGAAGGGAAATAAGCCTCCCTTGGGCGACAGTCCTCTAAGTGGCTCAGCCAAGAGAAGACGCCCTCCTTCAGTGGGACCCACTCTCTCCTCACCCCACTGCCACCAATGTAGGGTGGCATTGATTAAGAAGTGGTCACTGGGAGAGGACAATTCTAGAAATCCCCTGCGTGGTCCCTACCTATCACCGGCGGATTTCCCCGAGACAGAGAGGGGCCCCAGGCTCTTCATAGCAACCTTCGCCGATAGACTGAAAGCAAAGGGGACGTGATCATAACCGCAGCAAGGCACAATTAGAACCCAAGTCATGTGCCCACCACGCCACGAACTGTAAACCAGAGCAGCCAGATTCGTGGATATTTTTACCTTTTCTGTCTTTTGACTGATGCGTTTCTGAAGAGAGGTTGGGAAACAAGACTCTAGAGATACGGCTAAAATGGAGATCTAAACAACCAACTGCGAGTCTCTCTGATTTCATGCTGAATTTGAGAACTACGTAACAATGCCTCTCTCTTCCCCGGGGAAGCGCCTTGCTCACGGTATAGAGTACTTAGTGGACCAGCGGCAGTAGCAGGAGCAGAGTAATATGAGCGCCCATTCCTCCATCCACGAGCTCCACTTTTCCCAACTTCAGGAGTGAGAGTATCCCACATCCATTGCAGATTTAGTGGGAGAATAATCAGAGTTTGGGGGTAGAAGGTCAAAAGTGTTCACTTTCAAAAGAAATAGAAGGTTTAGAAAGAGCTACCAAAATTAAGTGAAACTCTGAGTTATCAAAGCAAATATATGTAATAAAGACACATATGTTAATTTTACTATCCTTCCCAACATTGCTCAATTTGCCTCAATCACGGTTAACAGGCACCATTATGAATTGATCAATGAATAAGTAGGAAAGCATATTGTTTTAAGCTATATTAGAAATTTACCAGTGGAGTACAAATAAAAATATAACTAAAGACATTTTGTGGTTTAAGATGAAAATTTGAGAATAGATTCTGCCAGGTTGATAAATTATGAAACATAAGTACAATTATATTACATAAAACTACTTACATGACTAAGACACACACAAAAATAAAGTTTTCATACAAAAGGACTATGTTCACACAAAAAATCGAAGGCAACAAAACTAAAATTGTAGGATACAGAGGAATGTTAATTATGAAATTATTATTTAGGAAAATAATAAATTACATATGGCAATAATGTTGAAAAAATTAAGTATGTGCAAACACAAAGACAGTGAAAACTCATGGCAAAACACTTTAAACAGAGCCCACCCTGACAGTAGTTGTTAAATATCATATAATAAACTAAAGAAAAATCTTCCAGAGAATTACAGTTAATCAGAAGGTTAGCCACCTCTTGCTTAACTCTAACTCAGCAGTTCTCAACCTCTTTGAGGGGTTGCCCGATTCATAACAGTAGCAAAATGACAGTGATGAAGTAGTAACAAAAATAATGTTATGGTTGGTGGGGGGGTCACCACCATGAGGAACTGTGTGAAAGGGTCGCGGCAGGAGGAAGGCAGAACAATGCTTCCACTATTAGGGATCACCTTTTGGATAATAATAGTAAGCATTTTCTTTATATATTAAAATGTTTCTACTTGTATTCTAAAGATATTATAATAGAAAACACAAGAAACTATTGTGCATCCACATCCATATCCTGTAGATTGGGTGACCTTTTAGGCTGACCTGAACCAAAAGGCTGCTGGTTGAAATGTTCTGATCTTATCAACCTTGTAAATAAACGTCTCCAGTCTTCTCTTTTATGTCTCACATACACACACACATACCACTAAACTCTATTTTAATCTTAGTGCCAACAGATTCATTTATATTATCCAGAAATACACCATTTCTTCTGATCTTGTGGGAAACTGAACTGAGAAGAGAGATGTGGATACGGACAAACTACATTCGTACATTAAGGAGTCAGGGAGGCTGGGGCTCCTGTGGGGGGAACCTTCATATTTGTGGGTTGGAGATGCATCCCACTCACATTCTCTTTAAGTTATTCCTCCCGGTGTCCCCCCATAGCAATGCCAAATTTAAGGTGCTATTTGCAAACACATGGTTGCTTACTATATGCTTGAAGGTCAACTGCTTGAAAGCCTGAAGGGTGTGTGCCATCAACCCCATTGTCTGTCCCACGATAAGTAGGGCCCACTCCCTTCTGATCAGGATCATAGCTTGTTCTGGTGGAGAAGAGCTCAGACATCTAAGGTCAAGCTAGCTCAGGAAGGACCAAGGTTAGGCTGCCATCTTGACTCAGAGCCCGCCCATCTTGTTACGGATGTACCTTCCTATCACTAGTACGCACCTCTAGTGCCTCCCTTCCTCTTGTGTGCACACCCCTAGGGTATACCTCTAGCACAACCCCTTCCTGTTATATATGTGCTTACCTAGTTTGCGTGCCCAAGATTATATAAACTCGTGAGACTACATTACATGCGCTCTCTGCTCAGGCCTGGCTCCTGAAGCCATTAGGGAGGTGAGCCCTTGCATGCTTTATCTCATGTCTCTTTAATTTACCCCTCAATTACACAACCGCCCCCTTGGACCCAGTTGTTTGTGGAGGCTGGTCCCCCACATGATCTGAGTCAAATCTCTCCTGATGTACTCACCTCAGGTGTTAAAACAAATGAAAGATCCTTAGGCAGTCAGCTTTCTGCTACTTTGAGCTCTGAGCTGCTGTTAATGAAACAATAGAACAGAAGAGATTGCCTTGATGAATTACTCTCTGTACTTCTTAAAGAACAGAAAGAGGCAGAAGAACTATTGTCAACAAAATAATCTCGGCTAAGGACTGTATTCTCACTGAAGTTTATAATGAACATTCCCTTTGTTTTCAAAACACTCCTTCCCAATTACCCTACACTCAATGAATGACCTTGGATCGGCTGGGCAGGAGGTGGAGGCACCCCCCCCAAAGACAGAACCCCAGGTACCTGCTGGGCAGCCAATGGGAGCTTGCTAGCCATTCCACGGATCATTATTTGGGAAAGCCACCGGCTGTCACTGTCCAGCGGCATCCCAGTTCATGCCATACAGGAAGCCAGAAGTACAAGCACGTTCTGCTTTGCTACAGGGAGAAACATTCAAAGAATACTCATCCTTTATGATGTGCATTTGTATTTCTAAGACAAATCAACAACACCACATTGGAAGCATCTTTGCACTGTTTTATTAAACACACACACACACACACACACACAGCCTTAGCTGTTTTTGGATAAATGCTTTTTGTTTACTTGCTCTTCGAGGTTTGCAGAACTCAGTCTACTGCCTAGTGTCCTGGAACAACACAGAAAGCACAGCTCCATCTGGGATCGAGAGAAGCTGATTCAGGGCAATCAGCACAAACTGTATCCCCCCCCCTTGATGGGTAGCGTTTCAGAACCGAGTCAACATGGTAAAAATATTGCTTATAAGACAAATTAGCGATGAATCTTGGTTTGTTTTTAATGTATAAATAGTACAGAACTATTTGTCCCTACAAATTATTTTGGGTAAAGGGGGAAAATGTGGAATTACAGAAAAAACCAGAAGATAGATGTTTTGGGGTTTAATGTTGTAATTTGTTTTCCTTTCACCAGTCAATTACATGAATGGATTTAATGAGTTTTGTTGTCTGTTGTTAGTATGTGTTTTGATCTAGCTTTGTACCTACGTAAAAGCCTATGCTGAATTCGCATATAGGCTTTTGTGACAAGTGACATGCAGGCATGCAAAACCAATCACAGGCCTCCCTCAAAGGCATTAGCTATCTGGAACCTCTGAAAGGCGCACCAGAAGGTAGGGAATGGACAAAAGACCTCTCAGCGGCCCAAGGAGGCTTCAAGGGAAATCATTAGCCTGAGAAGACAGAAGAAAACTTTTCTGAGATTCTGATATTACTACAAATAACAACGAAATGTAACATGATTGATAAGCAGCATTAAAGGTGCATTTTTGTGATCCCGTGTGACACCATCCTATATTCCTTGAGACCCAAGACAATTCCCGTCTGTCCGCAGAACCAGCTAAGCAAAATCTTTGGACACGGCCTCGACAAAGTTGGGCGCGGACATCAGGATGCCGATGGTGCAGATGATAGTGAAGACAGAGAAGGCCATGAGACACAGGCGGTCGACCACGCAGGCTGCAAACTTCCACTCGCTGCAGATGGCGTCATTCTCATCCTGGCAGCGAAAGCGGTTGGCAATATAACGGACTTCCTCTAAAATTTTGGCCAGATCTGAGTCACTTTCAGAAGGTTGCTCACTGTGCAGGAGATGCTCATCATGCATGGGTGAGCAAGCCATGCGTCCACACACAACGCCAGAGTCAGGGGTTGGTGCGCAGTGCATGGTGTCCAGACCCCGGAATCCAAGGTAGAGCAGATTCCCATTGCTGGTGGGGGGTCCCGCCATGGCATTCATTTCCACACTGGCCAGGCTGCAGCGGCGCTGCTTGTGCTGGCAAGCGGGACGCACCTTGTCCTCCCCTGGCCTTTTCATGCGCAAGAACCAGGCACACCAGTTCAGGAGGATGACTCTTGTCTGCAGAAACAACCAACAGTTAGGGACAGAAGTCAGCATTAGCGATCCCAATTGTCATGTGAGGGAAGCACATTTCCAGTAGGGGTATGATGGATTGAGTTGGTTGCCTCCAAAATATGTGCTGGAATCTTAACCTATATGTCTTAGATGTGATCTCGTTTAGAAATAGGGTTAACTTTGTTATGTTCATGTGGTCATATTAGTTTACAATGTGTCCTAAGCCCAATTGATTCTAAATTCTAAAAATTGCAGGTTGAACACTGTTTGGTGCCCAAACAGCGAAGACCAATTACTGCCACAGGAGGAGCATCTACAAACCGAGAAAACACATGCCCAAGCCAAAACTACCAACAAGGAAGGAAGCGACTGAGACCTGATTTGGACTTCTAGCCTTTAGACCTAGGAACAAATAAATGTTAATTATTTAAATTCCCCCACTCTGGCATACAGAAGTACGCCCAGGCTGCTCCTTAAAAGCAAGGCTGAGAAGACTTCTTCTCTCGTCCTTTGGACATGTATCAGGAGAGACCAGGCCCCGGAAGACATCATGCTTCATAAAGCAGAGGCACAGCTAAACAGAGGAAGACCCCCGATGAGATAGATTGACCCGGTGGTTGTAAAAATGGGCTCAGCTATGACAATTGTGAGGATGGCATACGATGGGGCGATGTTTCGTTCTGTTGTGTGTAGGGCCATGGTGAGTCGGAACTGACTTGCTGGTACCTAACAACAACTTCTGGGATTTCTGTTACAGCAGCACTAGATCAACATAAGGAATTACATCATCTATTTCATTTATCACAGTCCCCAAACCACATAGCAAGCAATGCTAACTGACTGAAACTTTGATTCAAACATGAATTGAAAATAAATGCAGTGAAAAAAATCACCCTGGACGTGAATGGAATGTTTCTCTATGATCTCAGTCAGTAGCAACAGGCACCCTTCTTCCCAGAGAAGCCACTCTCGAATGAGCGCTGTGTGAACAAGGCCGGCCCCTTCCCTGCTCGATTCCTCCTCACCTGTCCCCAGGGTCTGATAATACCTAACTCCCTGGTTCCCATAATGTGAGGGAACTCTGAGGCATTTTGAATTTTCAAAGGAATCTTGGGACATCCATTGGACACCACTTCAAGTCAATTCCAGCTTGCACCATCCAATCTTGGCAAAGCTGGTTTTTTATAATAGTCCTTATAAAAAGAAATAAGAAAATGCATGTGGAACAAAACAGTCCCCAGGTGTAAGTTCTTAAAGTATATTTCAAAATTTGAGACGCTGTGCTGTGCCCAGTAGGCAATAAGTAGTTAGCAACTTATTATGTTTCTTTGACTTACGTAATACTTTTTTTTTCTTTTGACCTAGGAGTTCTTGAAGAAAAATCCCTACAACCCTAACAGTGCTCTAACCCAAGATAATATAGGAACTGATTCAAGAGGTTGCAATTTAACATTGAATAAATGCTGTCCGGGGCAATATATTGAAAAGTCTAAAATAGGGGTAAGTCACAGATTAGACAGGAAGACAATAGATACTTTGTACTTTGTGGGTCCTAAGTAGTTGCAACGACTCAACACTGCAGTTGCAGCACAAAAGCAGCCACACAGATGGTGTTGTGTTCCAATGAAACTTTAATTACTAAATTAATTAGTGGCCTGAATTTGACCAAAGCATTATAAATTGCTGTCTGCTGGGTTATTTAATTACAAAATGCCGACATGCATGGAGAAACCTGCTCTAATGGAAAAGAAGTAGAAACCTTAGGCAGTGATCTGAGGGACAAATAGCCTTGTCCTCTGTAATCTATATAGATAGGGACTTGAAAATTGGCCCTTTCTTTGAAATTATACAGAAATTAATTTAATTTGTCTTGTGAGGAAAGGGTTCAGTTTTGCTTGGATTTACGATCAATGCTCAGCAACGGTAAACAAACGAGATGGTGTGTTGTAGTAGACGAATCTGCTGCACACGCTTCATGACAGTATTGAAAAGCAAAGCTGTCACGTTGAGGAGTAAGACCCAGCCCTGGTCTCTTCAATGCCCTCGTATGCATGCGAAAGTCGGGCGGTGACTAAGGAAGGTCCGTGAAGCACTGTGCAGCTGATGTGTGGTGCTATTGAAGAATACTGAAAGTACCGCGGACTGCAAAAAGAGGAAGAAGAACAACAAACAGCTGTCACAGCAGAAGTACAGCCGTAGGGTTTTTAGAGATAAGGATGAGGAGACGTCGTCTCACATACCGTGGACATGTGATAGGGCACTGCAGCCCAGTCAGAAAAGCTCTGTGAAGAGTATGTAATTTTCTCATTTTCTAGACAAGGAGGCTCAAAGAGGTTAAGGTTAAAGGATTGAATTGCTGTGGTTGTTGTTAGGTACCAGGAAGTCAGTCCCGACCCACAGCGACCCTGTATACAGCTGAAGAGATGCTCACTGATCCTATGCCTGAACGTGTTGTTGCAGCCACTTGGCAATACGTCTTTATGAAGACCTTCCTCTCTGTGGCTGCCCTTCTAGTTTACCAAGCATGATGTCCTTCTCCAGATACATTTGTCCTTTTGGCAGTCCAGGTACTTTCAGTCCAGGTACTTTCAGTTCAAGGTACTCTCAGTCCAAGGTACT